TGGTCCAGCATGCTGCTCGCTGTGCTCTGGTGCGTGCGGTGGGCCATGGCAGGTGCTCACGCCGCCATCGTCACTGGGAGGCCGCCGCTGCGGGAGGAAGGTCGGAGAGAGCAGTCAGCACTCCACGCGGCAACGGGGACCCTCCGGGCGCTTCCCGCAGCCCTGTTGCCGCACATCTGTTCAAAGAGCGTGCCCTCCCACCCCAGCTGGCACGTCTGTCAGAAGCCAGGCACAGCCGTGCCAGAGAGAGAGCATGAGGCACGGGGCCAGAGAGGAGGACAGGCCTGGCTCCAACCATCCTCAGACGCCTGCACCCTGAAAACACAGGGGACCCAGGCCAAGGACACAGGATCTGGTTGTTTGCTCTCAGACACAGAGAGAAGCCCTGGCTGGTTTGGCTCTGGATAGAGCATCGGCCTACAGACTGAAGGGTCCTGGGTTCGATTCCTGGTCAGGGCACATGCCTGGGCTGCGGGCTCGATCCCCAGTAGGGGGCGTGCAGGAGGCAGCCGATCCACGATTCTCTCTCATCATTGATGTTTCTCTCTCTCTGCCTCTCCTTTCCTCTCTGTCTAAAATCAGTAAGAACATATTTAAAAATACACAAAAAAGAAGCAACAGATACTTAAAACACACACATACACACACAAACCCGAAGCTTCAGGCCGGGAAGCCCCCTCCCCTCAGAGCAGGCGGGGCCTCGGGCTGCCTCCCGCCAGCACCATTTCCCCTGAAAATGGGTCAAGTGACAGAGGGACATTGAGTGACGTGTCACCCGAGGCAGGAGGTGCGTCTGCCGCAGCCCAGACCGTCCAGAGAACACGGAGGGGACCCCGCAGCGGCTCCGGAGGACCGAGGGCTGTCGGAGAGGTTGCTTGTCACCGGCCCAAGCACGAGCTGTGGGACAAGAACCCTCCTGGCTTCAGGCAGCATCGCCGGGTGCATCCGGGAGCACGTGTGTAAACGTCACTTTGGAAACGAAGAGTTACTTCTGTGCTCGGGGACGTGGAACAGACAGGGTGCCCCGGCCTGATCTGAACGCAGATCACCGTTCACTCGGGACCCGCCGGGAGTCGGCAGAGCTCCCTTTGAGAATCCAGCCGAGACACTCGTGTCGCTAATGAGAACGAGATCCGGTTAATTAGACCTGGGCATCCTTAATAAAAAGTTACATCCAGGGAGGACGAGCTTCCCTCAACTTAATCACACGGACGACGCTGGGCTCAACCTAGTCGCAGCTCCTAGGGCCGGTTTCTTAACACATTTTTCAACTTTTAGAAAAAAGCGTCAGGGAATTTTTTTTCTCTCCTGACGTGCAACTTAAAAGAGAGGGAAAAAAAGGTTGGGTGTCAGAGCAGGAATTTCTCGAGTCTTTGAAAGCGCACACAGCAGGTCTAGAAGCAAATCGCAAGGGCCAGCCCCGTCCTTTCCTGTCTTCCTCCAAGGCAGGAGGCTGCGATGGGGAGCCACTGAGTGCGATGCGCACCCACCCGGAATGTGGCCCGTTCTCACCACCACCCCAGCCAGGAGCCCCCACGTGCTCCCCCGAAGGGCCTCCCTCCAGCAACACCACCCCACGTCACACACGCCGTCAGCAGAGCACGACCTCACTCCACGCGGGGCCCCCATCTCCTACCGAAAACGAGTGGTCGGCAAGGCCGGGGAGACCCTCCGGGCGATGAGATCTTTCTGGAATAAAACAGAATGAAAAGAGGGAATTACTTTCACTTCAGAAATGTGAGTGAATGAGAGACGTTGTAAAAGTGCGCAGATGATCGTTCTAAGGAGAGGGTCAGAAATGACCAGAAACAAAGTAAAAAAAACCACATCACTTCAGCCCTTGGAACACAAATAAAGGGTCGGCTCACGTTCATTCAGGAAGGAGAGACTGTGCGCATTTCAATGAGGCTCCTCACGCCCTCATGAATATGCATTTCCCCACAACAAAGCTGGACCCCACGGATTCACAGAACCCGTATTAGGGGACACTCTCAGACCAGGAGGGTGTGCCCGTGGGGGCTGGGGTGGGGGAGAGGAGAGGAGAGGGAGAGGCAGGCCCTGCTCGTCTCCCCTGCCCCGGTTCACAGCCCACCCTGCCTCTGAGATGGGTGTGCCCGTGGGAGCTGAGGTGGGGGAGAGGAGAGGAGAGGGAGAGGCAGGCCCTGCTTGTCTCCCCTGCCCAGGTTCACAGCCCACCCTGCCTCTGGGATGGGTGGTTTCCTACAGCAAAGAGAAAGAGGCCGTAGGCCTCACGCTGCTCTCAAATGCAAATGCAAACCGCAGGGAAAGGCCCTCAGGTGAAGGGCTTGGAGGCTGGGCCCTGGATTGGAGCGGGATTCCTTGGAGGGTGGGGAAGCAGATGAGCAGAAAGCCAGGAGTCGTGCAAGAAGATGGGGACTTATTAGTCTTTTTTTAAAAATATGTTTCCTGATTTTTAAAGAAAGAGGAAGGGAGAAAGAGAAACATCCATGTGAGAGAGAATCATGGACCAGCTGCCTCCTGCACGCCCCCTACTGGGGATCGAGCCCACAACCTGGGCATGGGCCCTGACCAGGGTTCCAACCGTGAGCTCCTGGTTCCTAGGCTGACATTCAACCCCTGAGCAGCGCCAGCCCGAGTGCCGTGGGCCTACGAGATGACCATGTGCCCAGGAGCCCCGCTGCTCCCTCTTCCTCCAGAAACTCGGAGCGGTCTGCAGGCTGGGCCGGGCTTCCCTGCCCTGGTGAAGCCTGCCCGCTGCTGCCACCCGGGGTTGCCCACACCTGGAGGGAGGAGCCAGCTTTTCCTCTGCCGGCCCTCAGCCTGTAGGTCTCATTCATAGCAGCCTGAGCACCCCCCATGCTCCAGATCCCCCCCAAAGCTCAGAATCCTCAGCCGGTTTTGGAAGGACGTCAGAGCATTGCTTACATAACACGCTCTCCCACCCGCAAAGCCAGGCCCGCATCGAACTCGATTGAGAATTGGATTTTAAGTGTTTATTTATAGGCATCAGCAAGCACCCTGGTGGCCGGGGGAGGCACCGGGCGCTGGGCTCCGCCCACCACGACTCATTAGCATTCTTCCCGTGCCCGTCTGCTCTAATCTCCCCGGCAGCAGGCTAACTGCAGGGCAAGGTCACCACCCCGGGCCCAGCACCACTTTCCATTTTCTCCAAAGAAAATGATGCATTTCCTTTGCTCGGCTGCAGTGCCTCCCCCCACCCTCTTGGGACCCCTCGCGTGCGGTGGCTAAAGCAGAGGCATGTTATTCTGACGACCTGCCCCTCTGCATGGACAGTCCACCTTGAAGACGTGCCATAGACGCAGAGACCTGGACAGGCCCTTGGGGTCGGCTGTTGCCTCCCCAACTGGCTCTGAGTCCAGCACCCAGCCAGGCACAGCTGGGAGGGTCTGCTCCGTTCCTGCAGACGGAATGAATACGAGGAAGCAAACAGGGCTGGGATGCTTGGCTTTTCTCAGCCACGAGGGCCTGGCCATACCTCCTTCTACCCAGCACAGGGCCCGTCCTCTTTCTACCCCTCTGAGGGAAGTGGCTGCCGTGTTGTGAGGACAATCAGAACCACGGAGAGCCCCCCCAGCACGAACCAGCTGCTGTGCGGACACTCAGTCAGCACCATGGAGAGCTCCCCCACACCCCCCACACCTCCCAACCAGATGTGGTGGGGACCCCTTGATGGGCACTATGAAGAGGCCCTCACGGACCAGGTGTGCGGGTGCTTTCTCAGCACCACGGAGAGCTCCCCCTCATGGACCAGGTGTGCGAGTGCTGTCAGCACCACGGAGAGCTCCCCATGTGAACTAGGTCGTGCACCTCAATCAGCACCATGTAGAGCTCGCCCCCACCCCACCCCCAACCAGATGTGGTGAGGACCCCTTGATGGGCACTATGAAGAGGCTCTCATGGACCAGGTGTGCGGGTGCTCTCAGCACCACGGAGAGCTCCCCTCACGGACCAGGTGTGTGGGTGCTGTCAGCACCACGGAGAGCTCCCCTGGGCCACACCTGAGGCCTCCTGCCCACAGCCCTGTGAGGTCCATTTCCAAGTGGCTCCCCCAGCCCCAGTCAAGCCTTCAGATGATGGTCTCCCTGGCGCACATCTCGACCCTGGGCCAGAATCAACCCGCCGAGCTGCTCCCAGACTCCTCACTCACCGATTCGATGCCCAAGATCACAAATGCTGGCTGTTGTGCACCACTAGGTTTTGGCCGTAATTGTTTGCATAGAAATAGAGAACCCGTATGATAATAGTCTCTATCTTAAGCAGGTTGTGGCTACATATTCTTCTTTTTTTCGCAGTCCCAAGTGGCAGATCCTAAAAGGCGGGGGACACACGATAGGCATGCACGTCACCCTTGTGGGTGACCAGGGGCATAAAGGACTTAGGGAAGCCCCGTCTAAGGGGTGGGGAGTCGTAGGGAGTGGTCGCTGGGCAAGGAGGGGCAGAGGACTAGCTCTATTAACATCATAAGATGGGGAGACTCTTTAGGTTAAGACAGTGAGCGCCTGGGTCTGAGGGAAAGGCCAGCAGTTCCCGGGCGGGCCATGCAGGTGCAGGTGGGGGTGTGTGTGTCTGCCTGTCTCTCTCCTTCAGGTTCCATTAAAAGCAGAAGTGCATTCACTCCTTAGAAGTGGCTGAGCTGGTCCGAGTCAACTGACCCAGTAACAGCAGCCAGAACCAGGGAAGTCTGGCAGACCCGGCTGGTATCGAAGAACCAACACCGAACCGTTCAAGACCACTATGTTCAATCCTCTTTAAGGGCCTGAATCCAAAACATCACCACGTAGCCGACTGTCCTCAGTGTACTCGTTCAGAGAAGGGCAGTGTCCCAAATCCACTTTAACGGCAACAGTCCCTGTTCTCGCCGAGAAGTGACAACCGAAGCAGCAATGACGCCTAACAGAGCCTGAGCCTGCTTTCCTTTAAAAACAAAAAGCAAACACTCGGTTGAAGTGGCAGAGGAGTTTAAGCACCCTTTCAGCGTTCTCCTTTTGACCCTGACCTTTTGGGGAAATGGCCGCTGAGAGTCTGGACAGACGCTGTTTGTTCTCATCGGTCACTGCGCTCCGCCGGCCTTTGTGGACGGGAGCAGGAAGATGGCAACAGACGCGGGTGGGGAAGGGAAAGCGTGCTCACTGTCAGAGGCGCCTGGGATGGCCAGAGACAGTGCGGGTGACTCCGAAGTCCCTGTGCCCAGCAATGCTCGGCCGCCACCTTGCAGGGCGGGATGCAGCCTGGACAGGCCGTGCTCGGTCACTCAAGCCAGGAGGCCCGGGGGCCTCCCTCTGCCTCCTCCTGTTTTCCCAGCCAGTCAAGGCCCAGCTCAGATACCATCCCAAAGTCATGATGCCCCTCAACCCCCTGCCATCGCCACCTCAAGTCCCAGGACCTCCCCCCCGCCCCCCGGCCCCGAGGCAGCCAGAGGCGGCAAGACGGGGCTTCTGAGTCCAAACCCAACTCCAGACCCCGCCTCTGCTTACGAGCTGGGACCAGTGTCCCTGCACCGCACGGAGCCTCAGGCACCGCATCGGAACCAGAGGAGATTGCAATGGAGGAGACTGCAATCACATCATTTGCAGGAAACGTGCGGCCACAGAAAACCCGAGGGACTCTACACGAGGTTGCTGGAGGGCAGACCTACACCCCAACTCAACCACCACCACGAAGGTCATTTCCAAAGAGACACACCTAGACAGGAGCCAAAAATAAAAACCTATGAATCTGTCTCATGTTTTTTTTTATATACATACACTAGAGGCCCAGCGCTAATGTAAGTAAATACACACACACACACACACATTAGAGGCGCATGAAATTCGTGCACTGGGTGGGGGGTGTTCCTCAGACTGGCCTGCGCCCTCTCACAGTCCGGGAGCCCTCAGTGGATGTCTGACTGATGGCTTAGGGGCCTAAGCCAGCAGTCGGACATCCTTAGCGCTGCCGTGGATGTCCACGAATGAGCCCAGCTTCTGGCTGAGCCCAGATGGATGAGTCCAGCTTCTGGCTGAATGGTGCTCCCCCTGTGGGAGTGCAGTGACCACCAGGGGGCAGCTCCTGCATTTAGCATCTGCCCCCTGGTGGTCAGTGGGCATCATAGCCATCAGTCATTCTGCCATTTGGTCGATTTGCATATTAGCCTTTTATTATATAGGATATGCACATACATACACACCAGACCGGCACAGAAAAACACCTGCTTCTCCGTTGAAAGACATAAGAAGACCTAGGAGAATAAGGCCTCCTCAGGCTGTGAGCATGGTTTTATCTGGGGGGTGGTTTTCTGAGTACATTTTCACTTCCGAGTCGCTTCCTGAAGGTAGGATGGCTGAGTCAAGGTCAAAGCAGGTCCACTGGGGTCCGTGCTGCCCGACCCTGCAGGGGCTGGAGCGCTTCCTACTGCTCCACGACCTCGCCAACAGGGATGGAGACTGTGTCGAACTTGGGTTTCTGTATCTCGGCGTAATTTTAACTCACAATCCTCTTACATAAGGTGCTGAACATCTTTTCATTCACTTAAAAGACCATTTGCATTTATTTCTCTGTAACTAAATGTTCAGATCTTTTAGCCATTTCCTTCTGGGTGTTGGTCTTTTCCTTTTAATTTTTAAAAAATATTTTTCATTGATTTCAGAGAGGAAAGAGAGGGAGGAGAGATAGAAACATCAACAATGAAAGACAATCATGGATCGGCTGCCTCCTGCACGCCCCCTACTGGGGATGGAGCCCGCAACCCAGGCATGTGCCCTGACCAGGAATGGAACCATGACCTCCTGGTTCATGGGTTGTTGCTCAACCACTGAGCCACGCCGGCCAGGCCCTTTTAATTTTTTAACTCTTATATTTTAAGGAAATGAGCTTTGTCTGTGATTCTAGCTGCACTTATTTTCCTGGTTTATTATTTGGTCTTTCACCCTTCTTACGGTGTTCCCCCTCCCCACCCTTAATGGGAAGGTGTTCTTCCCCCTAAAGCAACTCAATTCATCAGTCTTTTCTTACGTTGCTTTGCATTTTGGATCATAATTTCCCACTACAGACTATAAAAGAACCCATTTGCATTTTCGCCCAGTACTTGTGATAGCTACTAGCTATCAAGAGCCCTTTGAAATCTAGGCTGGGAGATGATCAATGATATCAATTAAGCTTTTATCTTAATCCAAGTGGCTACTGTGAAGTGATGAAAATGCGTATTGGTCTCTGCCCCAGTTCCCGGCACAGAGCGCCTGAAACCCGTACAATGTCCCAGGATGAAAGCACTTGGAGCGTCTTTGCTCTAATCGTTGGTCTTCGGCCTGGTCCCTGACAGAGCCCCTGAAACCCCTGTACTTTCCCGGGGGGCATGAGTGTCTGTGCCCTACTGAGGCGACTCTGTATGGGCTCCAGGATGGGGACTGGGTCACCAGAAAGTGCAAGCTTGGAATTTTCAGTCAACCCATGGAACCAGGTCACGGCTCGATCCCAGTCAGGGCACAAGCCCGGGTTTCCAGGCTCGATCCCCAGTCGGGAGTGTGCAGGAGGCAGCCGATCCATGATTCTCTCGCATCACTGATGTTTCTCTCTCTCTCCCTCTCCCTTCCTCTCTGAAACCAATAAAAATATTTTTTTTTAAGGAGTGATGGCTGGATCGGAGGTCTTGGCGGTGCTTAGGGACCTTGACGGGGGAAGTGTGACTGAAGCGGGTGGAAGAGAGGACAGGAGGGGAGGGACTGGAGGAAGCCAGTAGAGGCAGGAGGTGCACAGCAAACAGGGCAACAAAATAACAACGATGATGATGATGAAAACAGGAGAGTAGCAGAGGAGGAGATGGGGTAGGAGACTGGTTCCTCTTTTTTCAGACGGAGAGGAAAGTGTGTCCATGACTGTGCTGGGGACCAGAGAGCGTGCAGGGGGGCATCTGGTGCTGAATGGAGGAGGGGTGGCTCTGAGAGGATGCGTTGTTCCAATCTCGGGAACAGCAGGAAGGATGTGTGCACAGATGCTGGCAGGCAGTGGTGCGATGGGGGTGGGGTCTGAGCCAACCCCGTGAGTTCTGCTTCATCAAAAATCCTGGAGAATCCCTAGCCGGTGTGGCACAGTGGATAGAGCGACGGCTGGGGACTGAAGGGTCCCAGGTTCGATTCTGGCCCAGGGCATGTACCTGGGTTGCTGGTTCTCTCCTCGCCCCCCCATCTGGGCACAGGCTAATGTTTGTTGAGGATCTCAGCGTCTGTGTTCATCAGGGATATTGGCCTGTAGTTCTCTTCCTTTGTGGTGCCTCTACCTGGTTTGGGGATTAGGATAACGCTGGCCTCATAAGAAGAGCTTGGCGTGTGCCTTCCCTGGGACGTTCTGGAACAGTTGGAGGAGGACAGGGCTAGCTGTTCTTGGAAGGTTTGGTCAACTCCCCTGTGAAGCTGTCCGCACCGGGACTTGTTTGCTGGGAGTGTCTTTCTGTTACTGCTTCTACTTCATCAGTTGTTATCAATCTATTCAGGTTTTCTGATTCTCCCTGGTTCAGTTTTGGGAGACTGTGTTTTTCTAGGAATTTACCTATTTCCTCCACATCATCCAGCTTGTTGGCAAATAGCTGTTCGTAGCATTTCCTTACGCTCCTTTGTGTTTCTGCTCTACCCACCTCAGCTGCTCCCCTCCCTGCCTACAGATGCCGCACCAGCTCAGGCACTGACACGGTGACTGTGCCACCTTTGTTTCTTGGGACCCATATCGGGGTGGGGGTGTTTACAGGGGCTGCGCTGCAGCCTTGCCTGGAGCTAGGCCGGGGCGGGGCGGGCACCTGCTCTCCTAGACGCCCTCCCCATCGGGGCTGAGGCTCACCCCAGGACCTTCCTCCCCTCCAACGTCTGTGCATTTTCATATCACAGTGACTTCCGGAGACTGAACTGGGATCCCCCAAGTACATACACGTAAGACGAAAATTGTAATCTGAAATTACTGCTCATTTGAGTAAACGGAACGCGCTCCCATCGCCAAGCCGAATGCAAACAACAGCATCCAATTAACCCTCAGAGGCCTCTCAGCTCCTGCAAACGACCCCTCTGCACCCTCAGACACAGCTCCTGAAGCACACGCTAGACACGGCCACGGTCTCCCCGCTTTGCAAGACGGGAGTTTCTCCGGCGCAGCCTGACGGAGCAGCCCTTCCCGTGTACGTGCAGCGATGGCTGAGCCCGCGGCGCCAGCACAGACCGGGGGACAGGACCAAGGTCACCCCTTGTCAGCCCTGGTTTCCGGGATGGAGGCGTGACATTCACAGATTCACGGTGGCCTTTGGCTGGCTGCCCCCACCCCGTAACCTCCCGTTCTTGGAGCTCCAGAGTGACCCCCTGGGGCTCTCCTTCCTGGAGGCCACAGAACTGGCAACCTCTCCGGACACGTGCTCTGACCGGGAATCGATCTGTGACCTCCTGGTTCCTAGGTCAGTGCTCAACCACTGAGCCACACCGGCCGGGCCTCCAACGTCCTTTTCTGTAGATGTAAGTGGGCCAGCGTCCCCCTGTAAGTAAAACAACTGCTACAAGTGCTTCCGTGGGGGCAGGAGCGATGTTAGTGTCGTGAGTGGGTGGCCGTCCACACTTCCTCATACAAGAACCGCCGTCTTCAGGAAAACACATCCCCCCAGACCAGCCAAGTAACATCTGTGACAGTGTCACTAAGAGCAGGACAGATGGCGACGGTTAAAAACCTGTTCCTGAGAATCGACGCCGACGCCGGCGGGGGACCATCAACGAGACGCGGAGAACAGGCGGTCTTGTTTTTCTCGATGCGCCAACGGCCCACCGTGATCAGACACCGAGTATTGGGAGTGAAGTCGGTTGCGGGGGTAAAAGGTCGTCCACAGTGAGAGGGCAAAGCAGCGGGCGATTTAGAAGTGGCCACAGGAAAGGCCGCCAGCCCGCCGACCCGGAGGCCTGGCCCCCAGCACCTCACGAGCCCAGGGAGAGGCGAGCAGGCACCGCAATCCTGCGTGTCAAGAGGCAGCCGTGGCCCATCTCCTCTCTCTGGGAGGACGTCTGAGAACCCACAGGCAGGCCACTCCCCGGTGCTTCCGATCCACCAGACCACCAGGTTCGCATGGAGGGCAGGGGCTCGGCCCGTGAGGCACCGCTCCCGGTTTTTTCACCGAGAACGCGCCAGGCGTCTCTGGGCCTGGGGCACACAGGGCCCAGGAGCGTATGTTCTGACGGGGAAGACCCGCGACCCGTGAGTGAGCCACGAAGGGACCGAGGAAGATACACCCAGCAAACTCCAATCGCTATCGACTCAGACAAAGCCAACTTCAGAACAAGGAAAGTACCTGGATAAAGGGGCGGAGGGGCGTTGACAGGATGAGATCATCCCATTCTCCAAGCAGAGACCACAAGTATCCAAACCGATGGGGCAAAAACCGACAGAACGGAGAGGGGAGATGATGAAGGCACTGTCGTCCTCGGAGACCAGCAGCCCCGTCGTACACGCAGGCGCACAATCAGCGGGGACGGGTCACTGAACAGCACGCTCCATCCCCTGGATCCCACGACGTCCGCAGCACAGGCCGACCAACAAGAGCTCACGTGCAGCCTCACCGAGCGCCTCGGTCCGAGGGGGCTGTCACAGAGCGCACCGTCTGGCGGCTGGTGAACAGCGGACACTTCGTTCTCATAGTTTGATGGAAGCCCGAGACCAGGCGCCAGCAGGGTCAGGTGAGGGAGCTCTGGGTCGGAGTCGTCTCCCTGTGTCCCCACATGGCAGACGGGGTACTGGGAGGGAATCAGAGGATGTGGGCCTTGCACGGGGCCAGCACGGACCGGAACCCCAACTCTTCTTCAAGTCCCAGCATGCTCTGTGCTCAGGGACAGGTCCGTGCAGCCTCGGGGTTTGGCGGGAAAGCAGAGAGGAACAGAGAGCTCCACACACACACAGTGGGGGCCTCAGTGGGGTGGGGGCCTCCATGCAAACCCTCCTTCGGACGCCGGGCACGTCAACGTTCAGGAAAACCACAGATGCAAGCACTGTCGCAGCCCACACACCCAGGAACCCCACCACGCGCTTTCTTTCTCCATTTGGACCCCTCGAACACGGACCGCGTTGAGCTTAGAAAGTACCAACGCCACAGTCTCTTACTGGGCTGTGGTTGAAACCAGCAAACGTGACCCGTCAAACTGCCCGCAAGATAGGAGGGCCGTGCAGGACGCCCACCGGCCACCAGAACATCTCCCAGCTGCTTGATCCTGCGTCTGTTTGTGGCTCCCAATGACCGTGGCAGAAGGGACCACGTGTGACGGCAGATGCTGAGAAAGACTCTCCAAAGCCAGCGACTGGACTCGCCCAAGCCCCCGGGACGGGACAGTGGCAGCGCCCGGTATTCCGAATGCTGCCCTCCTTCCCTGACTAATACCACCCTTCTCCGTACAAAAGCATCATGTCTTCCCGGCAAGGCCAGGGCCCAGGCAGGAGAGGCAGGCGGGGAGGCTCCGGGGGGAGGGCTGGCCCGCAGGCGGGCAGCGCGGCTGGGAGCTCGGGAGGCCGCCTGCCATCAGGTACAAGACGAGTTTAGAAACGTCCAGATGGCGGAGGAGGGGCCGGGCAAGAAGGGGCCTCGTTCCCAGGTGGCCGCAGGCTCTGACAGGGGTCACCGTCCAAACACCCCAGAGGGAATTTCTGTAAAGGATCAGAACGCCCGCCTCCCTCCCCAGCCAGGCTGTCTCCTGGCCGCAGCCACACAGCTGCCCAGCCCCGTGCTGCCTGCCCACTGAGCGCTCGGCTCCAGGAGGGATTCCTCATGGAAACAACTCGGGTCCAGGCCTGGTCCGGGGAGAGGAGGAGCGGAGCCAAGCTCGTGCTGAACGGAGGAACCGCGCTCCGGGGGCTTCACTCACCAGCAAGAAGCCCCAAAGGGCCTGGAGGGCCGGGCGCTGCCCCGCTGCGAGGGACACAGAGGTGGACACAGTCTTCACGTTGGCGTGGGAAGAGACAAAAACCAAGCGAGTGTTGCACGTACCTCACCAACTGCACGGGAGGCGCTAAGAAGAAACACGGAGTGGGGTTCGTGAGAAAGGGCAGCGATGCTGATTCGTGCAGCTGGTCGGGGAGCTGGCATACGAACACAGAACCCAAGTATGTGAGGGAGCAGCCAGGGGGACACCTGGACCAGGGGCAGGCGGGTGAGAAACAGCAGGTGGGAAGGCCCTGAGGTAAGCATACACTTGGCTCATCTGAGGACCAGGGGGCATGCGGGAAAGAGCCCACAGTCAGCCGGTCATCGAGGATGGGCGCGAGGGTCCCGGGTCAAGGTGGCAGGAGGGGTGGGGACAGCGCAAACCAAGCCTGGACCATGCGGCTGTGTGCTGGGAGCCTGGACGGCATGGAGGGACCACAGTGGGGAGCAAGGGAGAGAAGTGGAGCAAATCAGGCTACGGAATGTGGGAGTGGAGTGGGCACTGGGGAGCCACTGAGGGCTGGAGCGAGGGACACCAGGCCTGGCCGGGCCCAACCTGCCATGGGGCAGCCCCGCAGACCCACCCGGGAAACCCCGCAGCCGGTATGGAAATCCTGCCTCACACAGCAATAGCACCCCACCGACGGGTACGGTTCCCAAGCCCATGGAGGAGTCTCGAACCTCACCAGCTGTGTGACCTTGAGGTCCCTGCCTCCCCGGGCTCCCTTGTGCATGGAGAGAGGACGGGACGGAGCTGGGGACGGGCTGCAGGAGAGGAGAGAAGACTGCGCCCACGGCAGCTGACTCAGCCTGTGCCAGCAGGCGGCTCTGAGACACCAGCTGGACCCAACCCAGGTGGT